GTCATGATATTGCTAATGCAGTATCTACGGACTTTGTAAGATTGAGACACGAGTCTCGTGTTAAAGGGTCGGCCGCGCGTGTCAAGACCGTGCCACTGTAGGCCTTGGTCGACGCGATCTATTTCCATCGCTCCCCGGTGCGACTGACACCACCATAGACCATCATCCATTGCCTGTTTGTAAGGCATGCCGGTTCGCCGAAGCGGCGTGAATACCGTTCCAATTCCGTCATAGAACTGCTATTAAAACTATGCAAGTCGCCGCGCGGCTATTTTTGAGTTGGAAGCGTGACGTCCGGTCAGTTAATTCGGGCCGCCGGTGGATATATTTAGCTTAAATATATGTAGGAACGGGTTTCTTTGTCAGCGTGAACCGGTGATGCTATTGTCTAACCGTGTCCCGTTTTAGGCATCGCAGCACGAATAACAGGCGTTGCGACGATGTTAAATGTGTTGAGCCTGTCCGCGGCTCATAGTGAGATTCCGCCCGGTTGGGTTTGAAACCTTTTGCCCCGGACCTGAAAGTTTTAATTTTGTTCCCTGTCGGGTCGCTGAGACGCGACCTCGTTGCCGACGGTCTTTTTATCGGAAAGGGGTGAAATCGGCGTTCTGCGAAGCGTCCTTGGCGATGTTTGCGCTGTATCGTGCTAGTGGTCTTAAAGATAATCGTTGCCCGTGACCTTTGTCAAGAGTGGTCATAGTTGGGGGTGCATTAAGTAAGACATTGCAGTCGATGTCGAATTAGCCCGCGCGACCTTGCCGTCCTGACCTGAAATTGGTGGCCTATGCCTAGGGCAGTGTGATGACAGTTCAGGGTCAAGGCGGCACGACATAGCTCAGGGTCAAGGTGGCATGCCATAGTTCAGGGTCAAAGTGGCATAAGAAGTCTTGAAAAGGCCCAAAGTAATACTTGCAAGTGCTCACGGTCCAGGGACAATCGTCAAGGAGCATTGCAAATGCAAGGTCATTGACGAACCGTGTCTTGTTAGGTCACGAGGTAACCTCAGGTGACCCCATACGACCAGTGGGAAAAGTGTTCACCTGAACCAGCCTTCTCTTCAGCACACGAAAAGTGTCGCAAAGGGGCAAAACGTGCTCTGGCCCACGTATGTTGTCGAGCTGTCGAGACGGTCGCCACAGGTATCGTAAATTATCGCAGTACACGTAGTAGATCACATACCTTTTCGCTGCCCCGTACGTCAATCTCGTACCACCCTACCAGAGCATTTTCAGACATGTTTTGTTCAGCATGGCATGGAAGTGGTGGCTCCAAAGAGTACCTTTCAGCAGCCCCAAAAGATGCCCCACTGCAGGGTGATTGCCTTTTTTGTCATAGTTCGCAGCTCGTCTGTAGTATCCCGCTTCTCGTAGGACCCAGGTCAAAGCACGACACCCTACAGAATTGACGCAGCGTAAAGAGCCATCGCCTGAGAAGGGACGGATGCTGCGTCCATCAGGACAGGCCCGCAGCTTTCCATGTGTTTGACGCTCAAGGGGTCTCTACGGGGCCTCGGGGTCTTAATTTTTTTGGCGTTGACTCTTTGGTGGTGGCATTGGCAGGATTTGTGTCCTCCCCACCGCGTCGAGCGACGCAACCGGCGAAGCGGACGAAGCCTCAGGAGCGGCCAGCTCTTACCAGCACAGTGTCTGTGCCCTCTGCCTTCGTGTTCAGATGTTCAGTGCCCGGGAATTCCGACGACGTCATCATGACAGCCGTGATGTCACGCGTGACGTCAGCCGTTAAATTGTTTAACACCTACCACATTCCGACGGCTGATAGACGTAATAGCCGGCAGGAACAGGGTTGAAACATCGTTTTCCTTCGTGTATGACGAAATGTGGCACGAGCGGTCGATTTTAGCCGCATTCGTATTCAGCAAAACCCATCATGTCGTCGAAGAGATGGCAAGTGGTCCTGCTTGGTTCCTGCTCGGCCTATTTGGCTTATTTGAATCATTGTTGATTCGAAACAGTCCGTGTCATGCGTGTTTTGTGTAGGAGATAGCATGACATGCTTGCCAGTGTTGTACCTACCCTGTGGAGCATGATCTTTAGATCTGGATAGAGAAGAAAGGTCTGGATTCTGCAGGTGGGTTGTAAAACTAGTCCCGTGTGACTGAATCCCATCACTGATCCAGTTCCGCCTGACCGTACAACAGGGTTGTCAAGCCAAAAATGACCGATCACCGATCTTCTAGGTAGCAATGGTTATCATACTGGCAATCATTGGAACATACTGGAATTCTACCTTTCAAGGCGGTGGTTATGGTCACGAGCGCCGGGAGCTCGGGGCCTTTCTTGCTGGTACCACACACAATAAAGTGTGTGCGGTACCAAAACACACATGACAATGCTCGATTGTCATCACAGCGTGCCAAGACATTCTGATTGTATGGAAAGTTTTGTGCTGTCTTGCGTTTGCTTTTGAATGAAATTGCAGGGATGAGGTCGAGCTGGTAAAGCGGATCATTTTAAGGTGCCGTGGTCCACATGACAGTGATTATAATTACTATTGGAACGTTTTACTGATTTACTGGGATGTGGAAGTATTTTAAGTCGATGCGAATGATAAAAGTTAAAAAACGACGTTATCAATGCAATAACTACGCACAACACGCCTGGAATTTAAGATGTCTCAAAATGAAAATGCCGTACGTATTCAGGGATATTTGCTACACGTGTTCAGGAATGTTTGTTATGCTGGGGTATCTATGGGTTGTGTGTTTTGAGTAATTCAGTTCAACTCGCATCTTTGAAGAGAGCAGTTTTGAGATGAGTGCCTAGTGGAACTTTGACGTGTTCTTACGTCCGCTAATAATTATTGACACGAGTTACAGGCATCGAGAGATAGGCTGGTGTTAAGTATACGTATTTCAAAGCGGGAGCTAACTTAAACTTGCCGCTTTCATGGCTTTTTTGTTCGTTTGCATTCAAAACAATAATTCGTTGATTACCTCTTGTTTACGCAAATGGCTCCACATGGGATATGTCTGGAAGCGCACCGCAACATGTCCGTGTTGCGTTAGGTGTGCCTGCTTGCTTCCCTGGCTGAGAGCTGATCGGCGACGGGCGCCGCTGGAGCGTCGAGAGAGAAGGGCGGCCGCGTCGGCGCAGTGCACGACCGCGCACGTGGCGCCCCCTGCGCGGCGGGGCGGCCGCCAGGCGGCGCGCGCCGCGGCCGCCCCGCCGTCGACACACCCGACGAAAATCGATGCGCCGCTCCGTCTGTCGCTCGCGGACGTCGTGGAGCACCCGGACAAAGCTGAGGGAGCGGGCCGACCGGCGGCGGCCGGTCGGCCGACCGAGCACGTCGGCCGACCCAGCGGCCCGGCACGGCCCGGCTCCGGCCGCCAGGTGCGGTTTTGCGGGCGCGGGCGGCACGATTGAGAATTGAGCGCGGCGACAGCCAGCCGGCCGTATCCACGCGCGGCGGCCATATGTGCGCGCCGGTGGCCGGCCGGTCCGCGTCGCTTCGCTCGCCGCCGCGGCCGTCTGTCGGCGCGCGACGCGCCGTCGCCGGCGGGCCTAGATGGGCCGGGCGCGTCGCGACAGAACGTTCGCGGTGTATGTTGAGCAGCGGGCGCCCGGGCCCGGCGCCGTGCCGCGCTGGCTGTCCGGCCACCGTCGACGGCGCCGACGCGGCCCGGCTGGCGTGACGGACGGGTGGGCTCCCCTGCGGCCGGCCGTCGTCGGCGGCGGCGGCCGCTGATGGCAGGCGGCCAGCCGGCCTCCCCCGCGCCCCTTCCGGCGTGCCGTGACGTCGGCGGCGGCAGCGGGGGCGGCGGCGTGCCGCGCCCGGGGGAGGGGCGCCCGTCAGGCACGCCGCCATTGGCGCTGCGCTCGGACCGGCGGCGGCGGCGACGCACCGGCGTGCCCGCTGACCCGACGCGGCGGCCGGCAATGGCTGCCGAGCGCCGCACGCCTGCCGGCCGCCGGGAGCTGCACTGAATGGCCGGCGGTGGGATAGCAGGGCCAGGTTATTCTGCAGGGGCTGCTCCCTAGCCGATGGTGGGCACGCCATGCCCGGGCTCACGTTGACGCTAGTTACGCCATGTCCAAGCTCACGCCGACGCTGGTTACGCCATGCCCGAGCTCACGCCAACGCTGGTTACGCCATGCCCGAGCTCACGCCGACGCTGGTGAGGCCATGTCCACGCTCACGTCAATGCTGGTGACGTCTTGTCCCAGCGCACGCGTTGCAGACTGTGTCGAGGCTTGTTTGAAGCGTTTTGGTCTAAGAAATAGTTCCAAAACAAGCTCGAACGTGTTTAAGGTGCTTCGACGACACCATACATGTATACTTCAGAGTATGTGCGGACACGGTTGTGGTCCGCCCAGAGTTCTCGTCGTTTCGAACATGGCTATGAATGGGCGTCGATCCGCCGTTCTATTCGGCCAGGCTGTTTCTAAATATGGATTGGCTTCACCTCCGTGGGAGGCTATATCCGTGACCACTTCCACAGATTTAGTTGTTTCGGAAACCTCGCCAATAAGAGCCGACCGCGATAAATGAAAGCCGGTCGTTAAATCTATTTTTGTCCGTGCTGCCCGTTATTTACGCGAACTTTCAGGTTCCGAGCCGAGTATAGATACCTGAACTTCGCAGAACGCGGGGTGTAGCAATTCGGTGGTGGCGACTAAGACCGACCGTGGGTATAGCCATTCATGAATCTTAATCGCGAAGCGAGGTGACGATCCGGGCTCACCGGTTTATCGGTTGCTTTAGAGACTGATTCTTTTGCTCTTTCGGTCGTAAACGGTAACGGACCCGTCGTGTAATTAAACGGAACACGTACCGACGTTCGAATGGTCATATTTTTGGCGTGTACCCTTGGGCACCGCTACGGACGGCAGGTGTTTTGGGCACGTGTGGGCATCTGGACTTCGACGCCCCCCCCCCCCCCTACACAGAAGCAAAATGAAGGTGATCTATGGCGCCCCACCATCGTCTTGGCTCCGCTTGGCTGCTGTCGCTGACGCCTCGTCTCCTTGGGCTTCCAGTCGGTACTGAGCTGCACAATCAAGAAGGATTTTGTGTACCACAAGGTGATGCCGACGTTCCACCACTGGAAGACGGGCGACAAGAAGTTCGGGCTCACCTTCCAGACGGCGGCCGACGCGCGCGCCTTCGACCGAGGAGTGCGCTTGGCTGTGCAGGATCTGCTGGACGGTACGTGGATCTGGATCCGGATCTGGATCTGCCCGCGCGCCATGTGACGCGGCGGGCGGCCGCCGTCTCCACTGGCTCCCGCCGCACGAAAGGGACGAGCGCCCGGGGCGTGCCGTGAGTTCGAGAGCCGGGGCAGGGGAGTCGGTACGGCACAGGAGGCGGAAGTAATGGGGGGGGGGGGGGATCGGGAACACGCTGTGCGCGCGCCAGGCGGAAACAGGGGGCGGAGACATTGCAGTACAGGAAGAGGAAGATCGGCGTATGGAAGAAGCGGGAAGCGGAAATGTGAGATGTCGGCGTCCCATGCGGTGTGCGGGAGACGCCGCGCGGGGGCTCGGGTCGCTCAGAGCGAGGCGTCGCACGCGGCAGTGTTGGAGGTGGCGCTGAGCCCACGCGGAACAGGTGGGGGAGGAGGGGGGCGCAAGTCGCCGGGCGTAACCTCCGGCGGTGCACGCCACTGTGACGAGCGGGTCATCGGGTCACATGCGGTGCGGAGACGAGTGTGATGATTTCACGCGGCGGGCCGCCCCATCCCCGGTCGACTGGACGGGAGTGGGCACCTGCGCGGTGCCTCACGTAGTTACACCGCCGAGACCGGGTGGCTTCCCCGCGCACCGTGTCCTCGCGCCCAGGCCGCGGCCGACGCGTCCGTGGGGCCTCTCCACCCGGTGACCGCCTCCCCCGCGCTCGGGCGCCGCCGGGCACACAAGCCCACGCGGCGGCCCGCTCCCGGGGGCGCCGCGGGCACGTGGCCGGCTCGACCCCGTACTTCCGGGCCGCAGGGGCGATCGTACTGTGGTGTGACGCGCGCCGCCCGTCCTGGCGGCGGGCGCGCGCCCGCCCGGCGCCATGTCGGCCGTTACAGCCGCTACGCGTCGCCGTTCGCGCGTGAGGTGGTCTGGAGCGGACCGGCGCCCGTCCGCTGCCGCCACACCTACTCTCAGACAGTCGGGGTCGTGCGGTGTGGGGACCTCCGGGGATTTCCTAGGCCTCCGGAGTCGTTCTTGAACACGCGATCGGCGGGAAAGGCGGCCGGTTAGAGCCGGCTGACCGCGGGGCAGATGTGGTAAACAGCTGGGGGTGAGGAGAGGGATGAACGGGATCGTGCGTCTCTCGAGGGATGAGCGGGAGGTGTCTCTCCCGTCCGGACGTCCCTCCCATCCCTGCACTGGCGCCGCAGGGATGGGAGGGACGTCCGGGAGCCGGACCTATGACCGGCTGCGGCGCGGCACACGTGTAGCGAGCGCACCTGTGACTATGACTCCGCGACTGACATCTGCCGACCGGCCAGCCACCTGTGAGTCACGCAGCGCGCGGGCGGGCGTAGGGGCGGTCACAGGGAGCCGGAGTTAGGCGTAGAGGCGGTCACAGGGAGCGGGGCGGCTGGGTGCAGAGGTGAGCGCAGAGGGGGTTACAGGGAGCGGGGTGGCTGGGTGCAGGGGTGAGCGCAGAGGAGGTCAAAGGGAGCGGGGCGGCTGGGTGCAGAGGCGAGCGCAGAGGAGTCTCAGGGAGCGGGGCGTCTGGGTGCAGAGGTGAGCACAGAGGGGGTTACAGGGAGCGCGGCGGCCGGGTGCAGAGGTGAGCGCAGAAGTCACAGGAGTGAGGGCCACCATCGGGTCTGGTACCGGGAAGGGGGGGGGGGGGTCATTTTTAAGCGTTCTGTTCGGATTATCGTTGTCGACATATTTTTTTCAACTTAGCAACCATTGGTGTTGCTTTGCCAATGTTTTCGTGTATTAGGGTACACAGGCAAATGGAATATGAAGGCTTGCGTCGATAACGAGATAGCTTTCAAGTGCTGAGTTGCTGCAAGTGTGCGATATCTGCGTTGTCTTGTCCCCGTGATGTGTGGCGTTCCCGCTCGTGACGCTGTCGACTGTCGTTAATATGCTGTTCAACGACATTGGTAACGCCCGGTTTCTCTGCTCTTTCTCCTCTCGCATCCTCCTGAACAATCACATTCGGGTAAGTTGCTCTTTTATAAGTGTGGTCAGACCGTCGTCAGCCGGGCCTTTTGTCTTGCGTTCCCTGTCCCGGCTATGCGGTGTGGTGGGATGTCTTCGCTTGCTCTCTTTTATCTTTCACATGCTTTGCTGTCTGAGGTGTGTTCGAGCTGTGTCGATTCGACGAGTCTGCTGACTTCAGGCGACAGAGCGTGAGGTCTTGCCAGAAACGGCAGTATTGAGCGTCGGTACTTTTTCCCAGTTTCTCATTGTCGTGAAAAGGGCACTGGAAAGGAATGACTGTTATTTTCTGCGCAGTTAGTTTCCTAGTATGATTGCCGGCGGCAAGCACGTTGAATTAAGGAATGGCGTGCTTGTGTGACGTTCCATCATTCCGATCCAGAGGTCCCTGGTATGTTGTCACGAAAGGTAAACCGGGAGGGGGGGGGGGGGGGGACATCCGCGCCGTGGTCCCCAAGGTGACCAAAGTGGGTGTCATTTTTGAACTTCGGAAAAGCCTGAGTAGCAACTTGTGCGAGGGAATTATGTTTTAAGGCATCCCTTGAAGTAAGAAGAAACGAAATGCGATGGCGCTTTTGTTTTAGAACGCCACTTGAAGCAAAGGGAGCGAAATCCAATGCTTAAAAATGGGGACAGGTTTATGACCTTCGGCCGGCGCGGGCGGCGTATTTGATCCGCCCGTGGTTGCCATTGCGACTGCTTGCGCTCGGTACGCCACATGCCCCGAGCGTTTGTTGGCCGTCGTGTTTGTCGTTTCAATGCCACTACACTGGGGGTGGGGTGAGACGGCGTTGGTGGACTCCCGTGGAAAGCCTGGGACTGACGGGGTTCGGCACCTCGCCTCATTCCTCTCCACGCCACGGGATCAGTCCCAAATGCGGCCGACGACGTTGCTCCCCCCCCCCCCCCCCCTCCTCTCCCGACAGTGTTTTCCGTCGGCCCTGATAGGTGTTGCCGTGCCCCATACCATACCATACCCCGTGCCCCGCGCGGTGGCAGCAGGACGTGGCCGGCTGCGGAGAGGGTGTGTGGGGACAGCCTCGGACCGTCGCCTTGACGCCCGAGCGTGACAGCGAGCTGGTGTCCCGTGGCTTCGACCCCAACGTAGCGACTACATCAAACGTGCAAAAAGCAGAGGTCGTGCAGAACCGTCTGTGACGTTGTGGCGTCGAGGTGTTTGGGGCGCACCAGGTGCATTCCTATGGGGTTCCATGACATTGGTGTTTCAGCAAAGCTCTTACCGAAGTCATTGTCACGACATTCCTTCCGCTGCCAATACTTATGTACGATATTAGTGTTTCGCGATAAAACTTTTACCTCAAACTTACGCCCGATATTATTCACACTGCATAAACTTATAGTCATTGCTTAAACACAACATTATTTCTACTACGGAGGCTTTTATGCTATGTTAGTACTACACGACACAACTTTTGCCTGGAAAAAGGTATGCCCGTCATTACTTCTACCGCAGAAAGTTATGATCGTGGTGTTACATCACGTTGCTTCTACTGCCAATGCTTAGCCGCGGAGTACAATGTGCATGGACGCCGAGCAGAGAGGAAGAAAGGCTGGCAGGGAACCCCAGCGTAATACTGTAAGTATATGGTGCCAATACGAAACATTATTTATTCTTCGCCTTGATTGACGTTTAAGTAAAGGCCAGATTTGTTAGCAGAATCTCAACGACGGGTGTATCCTTTTAAATATCAGTTCTGTAGTCCTGCACCAACCCGTATAAAAGTCATGTGTAGTGAAGTGTCTGTCACTCATGTGATGTAGAAATCGTTGCAATAGAAGGCGCGTCGCGTACAAGTAGTCCCTAGAGGTTTTTCACCAGAAGTAATGTCGCGTAAAACTAATCTCATAGCAATCCTGTCCATAGTTTTTCCGTAGCACTAAGGTTGCGACACCATCCTATAGCGTTCAGCGGGAGACGCTGAAGAGGGGAGGCGAAAAATCTTTGCAATTGCACTCTGTTGTACATTAAACAATTGCCAACGCGCGGTCTCCGTGAGATGTGAAGGCATACGCGGCGTCGGTCCGCCTTGCGTTACCTGACCGCCAAGTGGGGTTACCCGAGCAAGAAGGGACCTGCTGTGAGTCGTGGGTGGATCACTCGTGCCCGGGTCCTCTAGCTCTTGTTCTTCCGTGTATCGCCTTTTCGGGTGTCGGTATTTCGTGGACATTGTCGCGGCGCAGGGTGCGGTGACTGACGAGCGCGAGATTGGCGGATTGCCACAGCATCCCGACGCGTCGACGCATCCCAGGCGACCGCGGAAGCATTCCTGCGCATGCACCAGACCAGAACACCCAGTTGGTTAAGTTTCGGAGACGCTGCCGCGTCGCGTATTGCGCATCGCGATCAAGCACGCCGGCTGCAGTCGAAAGTTTCCCCTTGTGGGCGCATTTGCCCGAAGCGGTGGGCGTATCGACGTCACGTGCACCTTTCCGTTCAGAGCACAACTCACGCCAGGCCGGCAAATAGCTACAGAGCGGCGCCGGCGCGTCACTTGGAGGCGCGCCGGCCGGCACGGCGGACCGCGGGGCGCGCCGCCGGCCGCCCACTGCCACCGAGAGCCGAGCGGGGGTCGGGGGGGGGGGGGGACGGGGCGGGGCGGTGGCCGCGCGATCGACCCGGGCCGCCCCCGCGCAGGCTCAGCAGCTCGAGCGGATATAGCCGAATTCGTGACCGCCGGCGGCTGGCCGGCCGGTCGGGGAGGATTCGGCCGCGGGCCGGCCAGCCGGCGCCCACACGCCACTCGTCCCGCACGCGCGCCGCCCGTGAGCAGCACGGACACGGGCACGGTGTCACGCAGGAGACGGCCCGGCCCGCCCCGCCCCGCCCCGCCCCGGACGGCCGACCGGGGTCGAACGTGGCCACGCCTTCGGGAATCGAACTGAACATCGCTCGTGGGCTGGAACAGCTGGGTAGGAGCGTACACACGACTGCTGTGAGACGCGTGCGGTCTCGTTTTGGAACATATGAACCACGGAGTGGAGCATGGGACCGCAGGAGTAGATCACATGACCCCTCCCTCCTGGGGTGGAATCCGTCCGTGGCCGCGATCACCTTCGGTCCGTCTGCCTTGGCGTGGGACACTGCTGACCGCCTCCGACGATGCAGCGCTGGCGCTGGCTGGTCCTGCTGTGTGTCTGTTGTCTTCTCGTGTCTGGGCTGCCCTGGCTTCGGCTGACGCGCGCAGCTGAGCTGTCGTCACTGCCCCAGGCCTCTCCGACTCGGAATCGTCACCGCTGTACGAATCGCCGACTCCGCCGACGCCACCTCCGCCGCCGGGCCGGCCACCGCCGCGGCCGCCGCCGCACGACCCGGCGCTGCCTTCGCCGCCGCCGCCGCCGCCGCCGCTACCGCTGCCGCTGCCGCACCCCGCAGATATTGGAGACAATGACGTGTTCATGGTGAGTCGCGGGCAGGATGGGCTTCACTGAGCAGTTCGAAGGAGAACATGGCAAGAAAAGCCGGCTGGTGATGTGGAAGTGAGGTCGTTTCGACCATTCGACGGGACAGGCTGGATGTTAGCGTCTTGGATTTCAACGGCCGCGACGCAGCAGCAGTCGGGGTTAGTCCCCTGGCATTCAGTGATCTCAGAAGATGCGGCCAAAAGCTCCATCGCCTCTGATTGAGAGGGTGTGTTAGCATTTTGAATAAATGGTTATCTGAAATGCAGTTTTGGAGGGTATCGCTAGGTTAGCGGCAAGAGCGGACGCCAGTTGTTCTCCAGCTACTCACCAGGTAATATTTTGTGCGTGATATCGTGGTGCACGCTGAAGCGGCCAGTTCTTCCTAATCGTTGCGCTAAACAAACGGCTGTTTGCTATGCCCGCCGTGATCTAGCTGACCCAGCTGGAGGCGCGGCCTCGGCTGCTCAGAGCGCGCCTGCAGCGCCGCGAGTAGCGCTGGTGGCGCCGCCTGGCCGCGGTCTGACGCGCGCCCGCCGCCGGCTGTTGCAGACGCTGGAGCTGCCTGTGGACCGGTACGACAGCCGCTCGTCTTCGGACTCGTCCGTGTCGCGCCAGACGGCCGCTTCGCCGCAGTCGGCGCTGCTGCACCGCATGTCGTTCGGCCCCCCCCCGGCGCCAGCGGCGCCGGCGGCCGGCGGTGGCGGCGGCGGCTCGGCCGGGCCCCACTCGGACGAGAGCGCCGCCTCTGAGTACCCGTACGTGCAGTTCGCGCGCGACAGGCCCTCCAAGCACGAGTACAGCTACCCGGCCATGGAGGACCTAGTCAAGCAGAAGGAGGCGCTGAAGCGCGGCGCGGGCGAGGTGCTGCACCTGACGCAGCCGCCGCTGCCTAGCAAGGGCGGCAAGCGGCGCGTGGAGCCGCACCGGCCGCTGCCGCGCCGCTGCCGCCACTGCCAGGAGCCGTACGACGAGGCGAGTAACGGCCGAGGCCAGTGCGAGTACGCGCCGGACGCCGTGCGGACGTGTCTGGACGCGGTGACGTGTATGCCGGCCGCGCAGTGCATGCTGTACCACTGCTGCGCCGACGCCGAGGGCGACTTCGGCAGTCGGCCGTGCGCGTGCGCGCCACGCGAAGAGCGCTGCCTGCGCCGCTGGCTGGGCCTGACGCTGCTGGCCGCGCTGCTGCCCTGTCTGTGCTGCTATCCGCCGCTGGCCGGCTGTTACCGCTGCTGCCGGCGGTGTCACGCGTGCGGCGGCAAGCACGGCCCCTCCACGCACCCGTAGTCACGCCACACTCACGCACGCGTCACGCGCGACCACAGTCACGACACACAGACACACACACAGACACACACACACACACACGGCGCCCACCGCGGCCGAGCCGCTGCGAACTCGCAAGCCGAGGGCGTGCAGCGCACACACATTCTACGTATGAACAATGCGATATATGAATAGAGAACGTATATGCGGTGAAGAGCGCAGCGTTTGTTGTTCTGCGCATGCGCCCGCCGCCGCCCGGCCACCGCCGCTGTCACTACTCTTAGAAGGCACGCGTGCGCTGTGTTCGTTATCCAAAGGGATCCCAATGTCTCGAGGGCTCAGGGGATATTGTGACGCTCTTTGGAAGCTCTGTCTTCAGTTCTGTTGATATACGCGCTCGCTGCGCCGCCTGCGCGTGTACATGAATGTGATATATGGGTGCGGCGGGGGCCGGGTCGGCCGCGAGGACGCTGGTTTTGGCGCGCGGCGCTTCTCTGCACGGCGCCCGTGTTAATTACTTGAGATCGGTCTATCCAGGCTCGGAGAGGTGGCTTTATCCGCCACGCGGACCGGCGTCGCCAGCTGTGGGCGGCGGCCGGCGCCAGGGCCGGCACCGGCAAGCTTTACCGATAGCAGTGCTGTTGAGATTGCGGAAGCGTTTCCAGAGTTGCCGACTTTGTGCGCGTTTGGCCCGCCAGGTGACGCCTCATCTCCATTGGCGCGCGCGGCCGCTAGGCGCGGTTTTATAGTTGTGACGTGTCGGTGTTGGAGTTGCGCCCACGCGAGCGCACACCCACACAACGTTGTAATGTACTCCTCATCTTTGTGAACTGGACTCATCGCTACTGTCATTTGTTCCTAAATACATGCCGCTTAATACCCGAGCTGGACTGTGTGCTCAAGTTCTCGGAGGCTGGGCTGGCACCAGCACCAGGCGACAGTGCTCGGCGATGTACGTCGCTGTGGGGAAATCAAATATTCCAACCAGCGTTGCCAGAATCAGAGGTTGCCGGAGACTCGGTATGTATTTTTAGATCCCCACCACAAAGACATTCGAGCAGTGCTGCTACACAGAACTCTGAAGGTGCTCTGCGAAGTTGCATGATACTAGCTCCGTACTGAGAGAAGGCGTCCTGCCACTCACAGAAATAGTCACACGATGGCATGCCTCCCAGAGAGCAATCTTCCCCTTTCAATGAAAGGCAATGCAGATACCCCAACCAGGTCAAAACACAGCTGTGGTTGCGTCAGCTGCATGGGCACGGTAGTCCAAGCAGCTCCCGGGCTATTCCAGTCAGACGTCGAAGAGGCGTCTACTTGCCCACCTATTCCCGGGGCGACATGACGTCACGCGTCACTGCGTCTCCCCCTCTGGCGCAGCTGAACCCTCGCCCAGCCGATCCGTCCGCACCGTCAGCCTCATCTCGGCCGTCGGACCCGCCCGCTTCCTGCATCGACCAACGCGCCTAAGCGCCGCCCTCAGCACCTCCAGCTCCGGCGGCAGCACCCGCAGGAAGGCGGCCACAGCAGCGCGGCGCACGGCCGGCGCGCCCGCCCAGGCGGCGTAGCCACCCTCCCGGGCGTAGCGCGCCAGCAGGCCGCCCACGCGGCTCCAGCAGAGCGCCGCCGCGCGCGCCAAGAACGCCGCGTTCCGCTCGTCGCGGTCCAGCCGCAGCCGCGACAGCAGCGCCACGTAGCGGCGCGCCGTGACGACGAAGTGGGCGCGCAGGGAGCGCCACAGACGCTCCGACGAGTTGACGCGTGGGTCCCAGTGCAGAGGCGTCATGCGCACGGTGGCCAAGTAGATGAGGCGAGCGCGCAGGTACTCGCCCGGCCGGCGCAGGCGCACCGTGCGGAAGGTGAAGCGCATGTCCACGCCGTCGTAGGCTGCCGTGTCCGGACTGACCTCGAGTGTGCCCGTGTGGAACACGCTGCCGACGAATGCCACCTCGGGGCCCGGGTCGGTGAACAGGTTAGTGCGCATCTTGTCTGGGTTCATGCGGCAGCTGAACTGCTCCACGCCGGCCTGCGCCATCTGGTGGAAGCACAGAGCCGCACGGCGCCGCTCGGTCAGCAGCAGGATGTCATCCACGGAACGCAGCAGCAGCAGCGCCGCCTGCGGCTCCGGCGGAAAGCACCAGTTCGCGGCGCGACGCAGCATGGCGCCGTAGTACAGATCGCAGAGCGCCGACGACAGCGGCCCGCCTTGCGGGATGCCACACGTGAAGAGGAAAGCCCGCCGCCCGTACAGCACGACCTGACCGGTGACCAGCCGGTCGAGCGCGGCCGCCACGTCTGCGGTTCTCACCGGCGTGCGAGGCCCGGCCGCGCTCGCGCCCCAGAGGGCGTAGCCGCCGCGCGGCCGGCGGCACAGCACCACAGTAGCCGGCAGCTCGGCCAGCCGTTCGCGCACCACGCGCAGCAGCAGTTGGTGCTGCACAGAGCCGTACGCGTCGCGCACATCCACGCGCACGAACCAGAGCGGCGACGGCATGCGGCGGCGGGAGGCAGCGAACGCGCTCCAGCGCTCGTGCAGCAGGCGGCGGTCGGCCACCGACTCCGGCGGCTGCAGCGCCGGATGGCGCAGCACGGCGCGCAGCTGCGCCCAGCGGTCGAGCGCGGCGGCTGTCGCCGGCAGCCGCACGATTGGCCGCAGCGCGCCCGACGGCTTCGGCAGGAAGCGCAGGCGGCCGGCGGGGGACGCCGCCGCCGCCGCCGCCTCGTGCGCCGGCACCGGCCGCAGCGCACCGCCGGCGACCAGCCGCGCCAGCTCCGCCTCGGCGGCGCGCTGCCACGCCGCCTTCGGGAAGAAACCCAGCTGCAGGCGCGGCCGCAGCAGCTCGGTCACGTAGAAGTAGGCGCGCAGTGCGTCCAACACGAGACAGCGCAGCGTCCAGACGGCGGCGCGCGCCAGAAAGCTCACGGCCGTGTCCGCCGGCTCGCTCCGCAGCCAGGCGCGCCCGCGCACGCGCAGTCCGCGCGTCACGTCGCCCACGCACAGCACGTCATGCCGGCCCAGCGAGAGCAGGTGGCCGATGGCGGCGTCAAGCCGGCGCGGGCCGAGCAGGTCGGCTGGCACGAGGCGGCGCAGCAGCGACGAGAGCGCCGCCGCCAGCCGGCCGGGCGGCACGGGCTCGGCGCCGGCGCCGCAGCGCCGCCGCAGCAGCGCCGCCGGTCGGCAGCGGCGCCGGCGCGCCACCAGCTCGGCCAGCAGCAGGGACAGGCGCCGCTGGCTAGCCAGCGACGGCGGCTCCGACACCGCGCCGCGCACGTCGACGCTGGTCTCCAGCACCTGGCGCAGCAGTAGCTTGATGCGCGCGCAGTTCGCCTGGCCGCCCGCGTGCAGAGGGTGCGACGGAGGGAAGTGGTGGCGGGACTGGCGCGAGTGCAGGATGTGGGAGAATGGGATCTCTATGAATGGGGTGGCGGTGGTTACGCGGCTGGCCGTCTCTTGACGAGGTGGTCGCTTTCTCTTGCTGCGTCGCGTTTTGTGTTGTTTTGAATGGTCCATTTTGCACTGACTGCTGCTGACTGTGACTTACTGTCTCCATATGCTGATGGGGGCCAAAACACCCTGTGGTTTTGAATCCTGGGCAGCTACTTGATGTCCCGAATCAGATAAGTATCCAGCCCAGCAGCAGCAGATCAGATTTTCTGGAGGTGCAAACACAATTTCAGGGATGGGGATGGGCTTAGACAATGGGCCCCACGATGCTGGTGAGGCCGCACCACCAACAAATGCACAAGATGTGAGAAACACTTGAAGAACATTGAGCAATCTGTGTGTGAACAAGCTAATTGGAGTCTTGCATACAAGGGCATAAAAAGTCTGAGAGGGTGATGAAGTTGATGAAGTCCAACACACTTCCCAGAAAACAGAAATCACCAGATTTGGCTTAATTATCTTGAAGTGTGCCCTTCTTTATTAGTTTGTTTTTGCCCTATCCAGCTGACAAAAAGGTCAGGCAATTCTGGCTCATCAAAGCTGGAGAAGCTGAATACAAAACAACCCTATGAAAATATGATTTGAGTTTCCACGCCATGCTTAGTTGTTTTATGAGGTGATCTGGGTGTGGTCACCAAGTTGTTTCACATAATTTACATCTAATCACATGATAGGTTCTGCCAAACCATGAACAGACAATGGGTTTCTGTTTGACTAAGCTTTTGGAATGGGTCCCTCTTAATGCATGCCTCTCATCTATGAATCATGGTAATACAAAGAACCATTATGCATTGATTTCTGCAGACAATGTCATGTTCATAGCTATTGAAGCATCAACACTTAAGTACCAACAAGTAATTGAGCTATAGATATGAATATATATATATATATATATATATTTATATATACATAAATATATAAGTAGATATATATAAACCTATGGCATGTAGTGTGGGTTTAAAGGCAGATCAACAACTGCCTTTGACCAAGGATTAGTGTAAACAATGAAGCCAAGCAGTATCAACTTCTCAGCTGGAACCTAATACTAGCATGCACTGCCAGGTGCATCTGTGGGAGACCTCTAATGATCAGCCGCAATATACGGAATTGCAAGATATTCCCTGCATGCAGCAGCTCATGGGTGCTGAAGAGATAAGGACCTGCCATTTTTAATTTTTCCTGGTAATTGCCTACACAAGTTGCTTGAAACCATGCCTAGAAAAACCACTGCACAGTGTATTGGATACCAAAAATATTGTGTGCATGCCAAAGACATGCACACTCACACTCATTAAGATAATTTTAAGTTCTGTTGAAGCATCACTCTCATTTCATACTCTGTGTATGTTATACTGGCAGTGAACATAATGGATAGACTACCAGTCAACCATAAATGCCATCAGTTGCGATAGTGTTGGCGATAGACGGGCATAAGCACCTTTAGATGCCTCTATAGCCAGTAATACGATGCATGAGCCACATGCAATCAATCATCAGTTTTATGCGGTTCTTGGAGAGACCTCGTGCGGTGACAGGTGATTTCCTCTCAGCAATTCCTTATGAGCTACTCGTAGGATTTCCCCACGGTTCTATAATACTTCGAAGAACCGTGTGACAGCCTTGCGAGCTTTCCTGCCATTCCCCTTGCAAGCCCCTGAACGATTGCAAACGCCCCATTACTACCGTGTAGACTTTTGGCAACATAAACGTCGTGACGCAAAGGGGGTGATTTCATGGCTGCCTTCCAGTATACTCTAAGAGAGTGCAGTGCCTCCGACAACCTTAAATTGCTATGAACCTTTTTTATTAAAAAACACCATTATATGCAGTTCAGCGTCTGGATGAAAATGTTTGAAAGTTAGGTTTTAAGATAACACGTAAACACGAGTACTAAGGCTGCCTAATGACAGCAGGCTGGTATCAAGTTTAGTTTAAAAAATATAAACTACCCCTGCATCTGGGTGTGTTTTTTGCGTCAGAGCTTCCATATTGCAATTCAGTCACATTGCAAGATTTTCTACGCAATGATTCGTCGCAGCCGCGTTGTGAACGTAGATTGTTCATTTCCGGCTGAGGAGCCGTCGTGTGACAGTTGGGAGAGGAGGCTCGGTGGTAGTGATTTTAATCGATTAGGGACTTGGATACCGTAGCGCGTAATTGACCGTTGTGACCTCTTCGGTTGTCATTCATACACTTGGTGGATAGGTAGAAACTGCATGGTAAGCTTCATGCGTAGTCCTGCTTTCCGCTCTCTGTGTGTTGCTAAAATGTGCTATCATCACATCGACACTTGCATGAGTACTACCGTTCGACGACGGAAATGTGATATTATTCCGTGTCGCGGTTAATCTGTTCTTTCTTGGATGATGGGTTTGTGTTGTGGCATTGTAAGAAGTGTGGGAGCTGTTCCAAGTATTGGAACAACTTCCTCATCTTCATTGCAGTTTGCTGAGATGTGGTGATAGGTCCCTTGCGAGGTTATCACATTTTGCTGTGAAATTATACGAATATTTTGAGGCATTTATGCAGCATGGAACAGCTCACTTTAGTGTAAGGAAGAGAGCCCAGCACTAAAACATGTAAGTGGGCGTGGCATTCTAAATGGCACGTGTAAAGAAAATTGGTGTTGTTTGATGGTGGATATTGGCTCTTGTCTCCAGTTATCAAATTTTCTGGCCTTCTAGTAGCAGGGGAATTGTAGGTTTGATTCAGTGTCTGAATGGTAATGCCAATAGTATCCACAAGGTCTGAAATGAACATATCAAAAGGTAACTGTCTGACACCTGTGGGTGTATGACCGCTACTCTAACTTGTAGTGCAGCTGGTGATGACTAGCAAGTTTGCTGTATAATGTGGCAGGGTAAGAGGATTTTGGCCAAGCACAGGTTGTTTAAGTGCTTGCCTTAAAGCTTTAAAATGCATGACAATATAGCCTGCAGAAATTTTGTTTAATGCTTATAATATTTCTTACTTTATGTCTTATTTTGGGTATGAATATTATGTGAAACCAGGGATATACATCACATAATTTAAGCTATGCCCTGTTGAGACACTTCCCTTTTTCATAATAGTCCATAACATTATGTCAGCAGTAGCCACACAATTGTGTCTCAGTGTTCTCAATCAAATTTGACTATTCGCATCAGAATAATCAGTTTGACCGGCCATGGGCTATTTCCTAGCCATGTTTTAAGAGTAGGTTTCTGATGCTGATTCATTGGGTCCATAATGTTGACATGTGATCTTAAACTATTGCAGTGTGCACCACTATAACAGTTGCATGCCTCTGAGTGTTATGCAGTCGTATGTTTTTGGTAGTCCTTGGTCAGATATATTTCACTGCTGAATATGTGAAATTCATGTTTGATATGACTTTGATCCACTGTCTCTAATTTCAGCAACTGGCCCAACTTATCAGCCCTGCAGTAATTCCTCTCACATGTATTTTTTATTTCCAGACTCGTCAGAAAAGATCCTCAGTTGCATGGGACTGGTGAATCACAAGATATTTGGCATTGTGTGATCAACACAACAAGCATTGTGAAGGGAGACTGCACAGACTCCATTCACAATGACTGTCAACCAGTCCTCCTTCACTTACTACCAATCATCAGTAAGTTCTTCCTGTAATAGCTGTTTAGAAAAAGTTAATCTTGATGGTGCAAGGTGTGAGTAGGTCTGCTGGATGTGTTTTCAATTGCAAACCAGTTCACCTCTTGTCTAGAGTTCATTAAGTATAGCAGGCTCAGTCATGTCTTATTATTTGTTTCTCCATGGCATATCTGTGAATTGTGTGCACATTCCTGCCACATTTGCAGTGCTCAATTGCCTCACTTGCCCCCTGATAATACAGTCAGTTACCTGTTTGTGCAGTATTGTGGCAGCACTTGCCCCCACCCCCCCACACACACCTGGTGTGACTCTCTTGCCCTGGCAGGAACCGCACAGGGCATCCCAGATGCTGGACCAGCTGCGCGAGATCACCGGCGTGCAGGACGAGGCGGTGTTGTCGCAGGCGCTCGACGCCAGCCGCGTCGCTGCCACCGGCCAGTACGACGTGGCGCGCGCCGCCACACTGCTGGTGGAGAACGGGCAGCCGGCCGAGCAGCCCGAGCCGGCCGCGCCGGCGCAGGTGCCCGACGTTGCCGAGGTGAGGCTGGCGAGGGGAGGGACGGGGGAGGGCGTATGCTATGGTTCAGAGGGGAGGAGATGAATCATAGTATAATCTAATGCCTCCCTGCAGCTGTGTGCCGCCGAGACGACGTCGAGGAGCCACGTGACCGCGTCGCTCTGTGCTGCCCCATTCTCTGTTGAGGCGAACGTGTCCCCCGTTCCTTGTGGTGGATGCCGTTGTTGTTACCTAGTCTCTTGTGATCTCCGTGGCTGCGTCTCCCTGACCGTCGTGACCGCGTCTCTTGTGATCTCCGTGGCTGCGTCTCCCTGATGGTGTCGCCGGCCGCTCGGCCGCTGCCGCAGCGTCCCGTCGAGCGGAAGGTGCGGTTCCGCTCCTCCGACGCCGGCGACACGGACCTGCGGCGCGCGATCGAGCTCAGCCTGATGGAGCGGCAGGCGTCCGGCAGCGTGGCGGCTAGCGGCATCTCGCGCGAGGAGCAGGAGATCGCCAAGTAAGCCGAGCTCGCGGGGACCCCGGGACCCAAGGGACCCCGCTGGGATGGCGGGAAGGGTGGCAGTGGCGTCCCTCTTGTGTGTGCGCGTGCAGTTACGAGGGAGGTGGCTGACCAGCCAGCGCCACGCCACGACACGGTGGGGATGTTTGGTGACCGTTTGGCACGTTGGGTTGGTGAGCGTTCACTCTTGGTTACTGAAGGGGTAGCAGACAGGAGGCTCCTGCTTACAGGAGAGGATGTGGCGCTCCCTTATGTCTCGTTTCGGACTACGCTAGTGGGGAACCATGTCAATTTTTGTGACGGAGATGGCACAAAGCTATGCTTTTCAGTGCCGTCGCCAAATTAGCTACGAACACGATAACTTTTTACGTAATGATGGTGTCACGTTTTTTTGTATTAATTTACATTATTAAAATATAAGGCTCGTGTTCTATTTAGGATGCTGCTCAAATTGATGGGGTTCTTTTGCTTTATCCAGATGCGAAAATTGTGGCGACCTGACAGTAGACCGTTGTAGATATAGTGAGAAATTAACACTGACTTGATTCCAGATAATTGCACTTTCCAAGGCTGACAGAATGTGTCGGAATGTGGTGACAGAATGTTCGTTTGCCCAGCAACGGGCAAACACAGGTGATCGCCCTTTCATGTGCTGTACTGACGGCGCGCATGGCCGGCAGGGTCCTGGAGGCCAGTATAGCCGACCAGAACGCCGGCTCGAAACGGAAGCGGGGCGCCCCCTGGGTGGACTCGATCAACCCCCATGACTGGAGGAGGTGAGTGCTTGGACGCTGCGAGAGAGTGACGCATTGCCGTCGGTGAGGTTGGTGTTGCCTCAAGACAGGCTGCTCGTTTTGCTCGCGCAGAGAGATCGTTCCCGATCGTACCGTTTTAGCCCACACGCCTGAGCGACTTGTACGTGTCGTCACTTACCAGCGTGTTCGCTGGAGTTCATCTGTCGCTGGCCGTGAGGAGTGTATGGGCGGCAGCTGGTCGGGCGTCTGTGCAGCTGACGCCGGGTCGCCGCGTCCGCCGGTCGGTCGCCGCTCGCTCTGACCGCCGCCCCGTCGGCCGCTCCAGAGAGGGCAACTGGCCGGTGGGGCTCAAGAACGTGGGCAACACGTGCTGGTTCAGCGCCGTCGTGCAGTCGCTGTTCCACCTGCCGGCCTTCCGCGGCCTGGTGCTGCGCTACCGGCCGGTGGAGCGAGAGCGGACTTCGCCGGAGGTCAGTCCCCGCGGCGGCCGCCGGTGGCGCCAGGCGCCACCCCCGCCTCGGCTGCCGCACGGGGCCCTGCCTGTGTGGAGTACGTTATTAACATGACTGTGGCAGTCGTCATAGTGGATTTGGTCCCGCATCGAACCCCGGCAGCCTGTGCCGCCTGCGCCAGAATCGACCTTGATCCCCTGTCGTGTTCTTTGCTGTGTGGGGTGGCGTATTGCCGAAGTGGTCGTGTGCGTCTCGCCAGGCTTTGCCGCTGCTTATTGTCGTGGCCGAGCTTTCGCGCTTGCGTGGCGTCCAGTCGTCCGCAGCTGGATAATGCGGCGGCTCTGGCGTGCTGCGCCGACGCAGGAGCAGCGCACAGCCCAGTTCATGCTGGAGCTGCGGCGGCTGTTCGCGCTGCTGGTGGCCTCTGAGAAACGCCACGTCGACCCGAGGGCCGCCGTGGATCTGCTGAAGAAGGTGCTGGACGGCGGTGCGACCGACTCTCAGCAGGACATCTCAGAGTTCACGCACAAGGTAGCCGCATGAGCAGTCGTGTTCGGGACAATGGCTTTGGTTAGGTTTTGCTGATTATCTTGTTGGTGTCGTAGGAATAACTAGGTATTTAAGTGCATAATATGAATGATAATTGAAGCTACGTCATCTGTGCAATCTGCTGGTAAATCTGTGCGCATGCCGCCGCATGAATCGCTTGGAAGACGTTGCATTTGCAATGAGCTATGCATTGATATGCTAAGGGTGCGTTGCTAGCCAACTGAAGGTATGCAGAGTTGAAAAAATCTGGACACAACTACCTGATCTCGACCAAACACTGGCCGGGCATAAAGACTGCGCAGTCACCAAATGAAGTCATGTAACATAATGCTGTTAGATATGAACAATACTTCAGAAATGTGACCTAAAGAACTCGCAATATCACGTTTACCACTTATATTGCCGATATACAATGTTCAGATTAAAGTCTGGTTATCGACGAATGAATAATATTGTGGGCTCCGAATTTCTTGTACGGTCTCTGCAATGCTGCAATTGCAACATTTTTATGCCTTGTATGATATGATATACCATATATTTATATAAGTATAGATATAGATATATATATATATATATATATATATATATATATAGATATATATATATATAGATATATAGATATATAGATATATAGATATAGATATAGATATATATATATATATATATATATAAATATATATATATAAATATATATATATATATATGTATTTATATACAGACAGATAGATAGATAGACAGATATATGATTATAATAGTGATATGATTATGATAATAAAAGCTAATGTAAATAGATATAACACTTGTTAAGCATCAAATTCAAACAAGAGCCTACAGACCTGTTCAGAAACCAACTTTTAATACGATGTCTGCCAAACAACAGCTGGCGAATACACCGAGCGGATGTTATTTCAACATTTGCAAATCATTTTTTATAGTTCTCGAAAGCATACAAGAGATGTTAGCACCGTTCGCACTTAAGCGGAGAATTCCGTCGGAGATTTGGCACCCAGTGCGGACGAGGGGGTTGGATGTACGTGCTCTGAAGAGGGGGCTTTGGGTCCACGCACCCTTGAGAGGGGAGTTGGGTCCACGCTCCTGGCCGACGAGACGGGTAACCAAGCGCCTCTTCAAAGGGCAGTCGAATGATGACGTATGCGGGCAAGCTGTCCTACAGAAGTGACATCTCCTGACTGAGAAACAGACAGTTGAATGCAAGGGAGGAGTTAGCGACAGAAGTAACGCACCCTTAGCACACGTAATGTCAATGTCGGAGGGACATGCTTGGCGACGTGGCGAGCTTACCCGGTTCTGTGCCGCGGTCGCCAGCTGCTGGAGTGGCTCGAGGAGGCCTTCAAGTACGCCGACACGGACGCGGAGAGCGGCCGGGGCGACCGCAGGTCCCGCAACCCCATGATCAGCCTGTTCTACGGCCAGCACAAGACGGAGGGCGTCCGGGACGGTGGGTCGCCGGCGGGGGATGCAGGCTCGCGAGGCACGGCCGGCGCCGGCGGCGGCGGCGCCCGGCTGTGGCAGGCGGGCTGTGCTGGCGGTGTGGTGGCCGCCCCCGCGTGCCGGGCCGGGTGTGCGTGTGAAGCGATGTGCTGGTCGGAGTGCCGCGACTGCCGTACGTTGTTGAGCGGCGGCGGCTGCGGGCCCGACGGGACGGCGTAGCCCGCCGCCCCTTGCCGGCTCGTGTTTCTCCGTGCTGTAGTTACCGCAGAGACGCGGGTCAATTTTGGGACTCGCTGATTGTGACGTTGTGTGGGACGGAGTTCTTTTGACAGACATCGTTTGCCGAATGATGGAAACTGACCTCGTTTTCGGAGGCGAGTGGAAGGGAAATGACACCGTTGTCTGGACCCGGCCTTTGCGCCTCTCCCGAGCGGCGGTGCGTCTCGCTAACGGCCGCCGCCGCCGCCGCCCGCCAGGTCTGCCGTACACTCAGACGGAGACGTTCGGCCAGTTCCCGCTGGCCGTGGTGCCCGGCCAGGACCTGCACCAGGCGCTGGAGGCGTCGGTGGCGGCCGGGCCGGACGCGGCCGCCAGCGACGCCGCGGCGCCCGGACCGCACCAGTGGTTCACCGTGCTGCCGCCCGTGCTGCTACTCGAGCTCAGCAGGTTCCACGTGAGGCGCGGCGGGGGGGAGGGGAGGGGAGGGGAGTGTGACGTGGCGAGTTGGGGGGGGGGGGGGGATGAGCGTGTTTCGGTGTCGTGATCTATCGCGGCGCGACAGATAGGCGGTGGTCTATCGCTGGGGTTGTTTAGAGGTGATGTGGCGTGCATCTGTTTCGCTGGAGTTGTAGACGGAGTGCAACGCTATGAAGCATATCACGGGTGTATTGATTACGTGTTCGAAGTAACGCGAGTGAACGTGGGTCCACATAGTTCAGTTGGTTGTGAGGATTTTGAGAGGGCCCAGAACTGCCGCTGACAGAGCGGAGTCAAATGCCCATCCCCTCCAATCTATCCACGCCACTGACCATGCCTCAGTGTGTGTTTACGTACCATAGCCCGCCTCGCGTCCCGACAGTTTGACCAAGCGCTTGGCCGGACGGAGAAGATCCACGACCGGCTGACCTTCCCGATGGAGATGTACATGGACCGGTACCTGGAGATCAACAAGAACATCGTGACCGTGAAGCGCGCCGAGATCGCCCAGCTGCGGCAAACGCGCCACCAGCTGCAGCGGCGCCTGGACCAGTGCGTGAGCCCTGACCGCGGCGGGCCTCGTGCGGGACCGCCAGTAGAAAATGGGATAGCTTGTAATTGCTTGGTATTTCCTGGGAATCTCGCAGGCCTAGACAGTGTGGTGATGTCATGAAACGATTAGTTTCAGTAGTCCAATGTTGCTTCAGTGAGTGTGACATGCTATCCAGAGCGACCTTTGACCTGACATGGCATGACGTACCTGCAGCTGAACACGGCGTCGCCTTGGCTGCATTAGCCAATCCGACCCGACGCATTTCCCCCGTCCCTTCTGGTGACCCCACCTCACCTGGCCTGACAAGGACCTAACCTGCGTGACCTGACCTGACCTCAGGTACCTGTCGTTCGGCGCCTCAGCGCCCCGTCTGCCTCTGTCCCGCCTGCTGCGCCACGCGCTGCAGTACGCGCGCGGCTCTGTGAGCGAGCCGCTGCTGGACGTGCAGGACGTGGAGATGGAGACGGCCACCTCCTCGTCGGTCACCAGGTCAGAGCGGGCCCCTCAGTGCCTCCTTATGTTAGCATAAACGTGGAGCTTCACATGCCACTTGGAACTTTGTGAGCTTTGAAACGGTGCATGTCTCCGTGTACCGGACACGGAGAGTGGAGCGTCGGGCGTCTGGTTGGCGGTGACTGACACTGCCGTCTGGTTGACGGTGACTGACACTGCCGTCTGGTTGACGGTGACTGACACAACCGTCTGGTTGGCGGTGACTGACACGTCTGTGTGTGCCGCCAGCATGCTGGTCGACTCTCCGAGCAGCAGTCCGCGGCCGGCGCGGAGGGCCGCCAGCCAGCCCAGCATGCCCTCAACGGTAAGCGCAGCCAGTCCAGGGCGCCGGGGCACCCACAACCAGCGGACTACCGCCGGCTGGGGCCGGGCGGCCACTAGGAGAGGGTCTTGTGGTTACGTTTTGGAGATGGGTTGGACGAACTGGTGTCGGCGTGGGGAGGGTTGAAGACAGGCCAGGATGTCTGGGGCGGGAAGGGAGGAAACAGTTTGATGCCAGGTGGTGTATTAGAAGGGAAGGTGCGTTAAGGCGTTCATGCTGGAGATATAATTGCAGGGGCGGCAAAAGCCCATTGTGTTAAAGCTGGGAAAGGGTTATGTCCCCCTCAGACCTCCAAACGGCGTCGCTCTAGTTAACAGTCGGCAGCTGGGGCGTAGTTTTGCGGAATCAGTTGGCGTGGCCGAACAGTGAAAAATGACGCAACCTTCCCCCCAAATATCAAACAAGGAGAACAGAAAGCTGGTGTCCAGCGTGGTATACGCGCTGACGTGTACTGCCGACCTGTGCTGCAGTGTTCGCCGGCTGTGGCCGATGCGGTGCCGACGAGACTGGCGGCCTCCGAACAGGACGGGCCGCGTAGCTCCGAGTCGGCGCTGGGTCCGACGCACACCTCCGCTGAGGAGATGGCTGTGGTGCAGGTAGGTCAGCAGTACAGCAGGGGTCTGACCCACACCTCCGCCGAGGAGATGGCTGTGGTGCAGGTGGGTCAGCAGTACAGCAGGGGTCCGACTGACACCTCCGCCGAGGAGATGACTGTGGTGTAGGTGGGTCAGCAGCACAGCAGGGGTCTGACTCGCACCTCCGCCGAGGAGATGGCTGTGGTGCAGGTGGGTCCGCAGTACAGCTAGGGTCCGACTCACAGCTCCGCCGAAGAGATGGCTGTGGTGTAGGTGGGTCAGCAGTACATCTGGGGTCTGACTCACACTTCTGCCGAGGAGATGACTGTGGTGCAGGTGGGTCCGCGGTACATCTGGGGTCTGACTCAAACCTCCTCCGAGGAGATGACTGTGGTGCAGGTGGGTCAGCAGCACAGGTGGGGTCCGACCCACACCTCCGCTGAGGAGATGACTGGTGCAGCGTTGTGCTGAGTTCTGTTGCGGGAGGCGTAGGCATCCATCACCACTGTTGTTCCTCGGACGCCATCTACCGACGATGTGTTCTGCTGCGTCGTTGTAGTGGCGCACTTGGCAGCTGGTGGTTATGGCAGCAGCAGCCGTTACGCTGCCCTGACTTGATGTGCACGACAGATGAGGGATCAGAACGCTCGTCCCTCTCCATGCATTGTGTTGGCACCGTGGGACTTCGAGCACCCACCTCACGTGGTGACCTTCACGTGAGCTGGCCTGTTGACCTGACCGGTGTGACCCCTAACGCGCGCCACAACCCACAGCGTTGCCTGGAGCGCTGGACCCAGGAGGTGGACAGGGAGGTGCGAGAGCTGAAGCGACAAATTCGCGAGATCGATGCCAAGATCGACACCATGTTTGACGAGCCAGGCCTGCGGCAGGTGCGTCACCTCGTCGTGCGTGGTGGATTTGCGCAACGTTGCGCGGATACCCCAGCTGGGAGTTGTGTGTGGGAAGGAGGTGAGGGGGCGCGTTCAGTGACACGGAGGCTGGAGATCCGGGGGTAACGGGGAGAGTGTGCCAAACTGCCCACGGGACCTGCTGGCGCTGAATGAGGGTGAACGGGATGGCGTCGAGTTGGTCTAACGCAGTATAATGAGTCGCTCAGACGTCAGTGGGCGCATCGCCACGCCCTCGCTGGTTAGGACGCGCGCCGCACTTGGTGCCTCGGCCGCGTCCGGCCGGTCTGCGGCGGGTCTCTGCAGCTCGTCTCGGGGTTCGCTGTGGACGGAGCGTGTCACAGGAGCTCGCGAGCCAGCGCGGCTGCTCTCGAGCTCCCGACGATGAGGCCGCCGTGAGCCTGACTCACAGTGTTTCGGTGGCGGCGCTGCGGGCGACGCGGCGTGTCGCGGCGCTGGTGGCGGTCCCCTCCGCCCTGCCGCGGGGCTGATCCGACCCGACTACTCCGGAGCTCGGCCAGCTGGCTGCTGGCGCCGCCCGCGTCCTCTCCGTTCTCCGGGACGGCCGCGCGCTTTCCTGGCACGGCGCCAGCACCGGCACCCTCCTGCCCGTCCACCGTCGTGCCGTGCGTGAAGATCCGCGCGTGTTTCAGGTGCCTTACCGGCTACACTCGGTGCTGGTGCACGAGGGCCAGGCCGTGTCCGGGCACTACTGGGCCTACGTGTTCCATCCGCAGCGGAAGATCTGGCTCAAGGTAAGCCCCCCCCCCCCCCCCTGTCACTGAGTTGAGCTGCCAGACGGGCGGCTCCACTGGCGGTGCGGGGACGTCTGTGTCGTTAGTAGCGCCACTCTGGGCTTGTCTCCCGTCGGTTGTTTTGTCTCCGTGTCTCCGGCGTGGCGGGCCGGCTCGGCGGCTCGGCGGCGCTGCGGGCTCTCGGCTGCGTCAGCGGCCGGACCGCTCGCCGCGCCGAGCGGCGCCCCGTGACCCCGCGCGACCTCAGCATCAGCGAGCGAGCGAGCGGCGCCGGAGCGTCCCGGGTGGCGGAGTGCCGCCGCGGCGGCGGTCGCCGCGTGCTCTGACCGTCGTGCCGGCCCGGCCGCAGTTCAACGACAACACGGTGACGGCGGCGACGTGGGACGACCTGTGCCTGGAGAGCGTCGGTGGCCACCACAACACGTCCGCCTACTGTCTGGTCTACATTGACGTCAACCGGCACGAACTGATGGACGGTGGGTCTGCGTGAGGTGCCCCCCCCCCCTCCCTCCCATCCCCCGGTCACCCGCAGACGGACGGAAAGGAAGTGAGTTTGATGCGTGGGAGATACAGTCGTTGGCAGGGGTCAGACGTGCTGTTGGGATAAGGTAAGGGAAGGGGGGGGGGGGGGGGGAGCGTATGGTCAAAGCATGGACGAATGGTCGAACGGGGCGTCGGCAGTGCGTAACGTGGCACTTGTCCAACATCAGTCAAAGAACTAAGGTGTTGGTCGTCAATACAGGATGGGGGGATGGCGTGGGGAAAGAAGCAAGTGTTGCAATCATTTGCCGGTGATGCTGACTTTCATTTTGCACGTGAAAACATGCACGTATCGGCACGCCTTTGCGTCTATCATTGCGTGCTTAAGCCGGGACTATCTTCGCCATCACCACTTGCTAACCCCTGTCTCCAATGGAGCCTACCACGCGAACGTTGTGAACGTGTTCGGCACACATTAACCACACGCCATGTGCACGGCCCGCCTACGTGCCGACGAACCCCGCCCCGCCTGGCCAGTCGGCCTGTCGGGGCCGGTGTCCGCCACCGCTGACGCGCCGCTCGCGCGCGCGCGCGCGCAGATCGCACCCAGGTGGACAAGGAGTCGGGCATGGTGGACGCGGAGGACGAGGCGCAGCGGCTGCCGCTGCCCCTGCAGCAGTACGTGGACGAGCACAACCGGGCCTTCCAGACGGAGCTGGAGACCTGGAACTCAGAGCCGCAGCCGTCTGACGACAACACCCAGAGCATGGACAGCGCCGACGCGGTACGGACCGGCTGGCGGCGCTGGCTGCGGCCGGTGCGGGCGGGCCGGCAGCGGAGCCGGACCGGCCTGGTGTGAGGGGCGCCGATCAGGGGCTGAAGAGTGGCGCACCCACTCAGGTGCCGGGCTGGGCTGATGTGAGGGGTACCGATGAGGGGTCTGAGAGAGGCCCACTCATGCACTTGTTCGGTGAGAAGTCCGGTGGCAGCCGTGATCGCCAGGTGTTCTGTGTGCATTGTTGAGACAAAGCGTGCACAGAGCCGTTCGTCTCGTGCGGCTGAATGGTGGCGGCGTCTGCGTCACTGCGTGCCGATTCTCTGATGTTTCGTGCTGCTCTCGCCAGCTGGCGCAAGCCGGCTGGCGTGCGTCGCCCTCTGACTTGCCGTTCTCGCCGCCCGCTGACGCCGGCTCCCCTTTGCCGCCACGCAGTTCGGCGGCGGCAGTTCGGGCGATCAAGCGATGCCTGACCCGGCCGAGCGCACCCAGTGGGAGGAGCTGAGCGCGCGCCACGCGGCAGTCAGCCTGCCGGCCACGCTCGAGCTGCTCAAGGCCACGGTGGCCGATGCGCCCGGCTCCAGCGCCCGCCACTGGATCTGCGAGGTGGGGAGGTGGGCCCGCCGGCGCACGTGGCGGTGTGGGATGGTGGGCAGGGTGGGTGTTGGGCTGGAGCGCTTCATAGCCGAGACGCTGGGTCACGGCGCGGGTACATGTAACCTGGGAGAACGCCACGTACAGGCCCATGTGGTGATGTGAAGGGAGTGGTCACAGCGATATGGAACGCGTGCGTTTTGATGCGCTCTGGCGCCCTTTCCACGACTGGACAGCCTGTGTTGGTGAGTCGTCTGTAGATGACTCTAATGTACCCTGAGACGTAAAGTTCCAATCGTTCCCATGTCCTGCTGGTGAGCGGCACGGCCGGGCGGCGCGTCTGACCACGCGTGCCGTACCCACAGGCGCTGGGCAAGGCGCAGGCGCAGGCCCGGGAACGGTGCGGCGCGATGGACGCCGACCCGAACTGCGACTACCGTATGGACAGCATGCCCGTCTACCTGGTCCGCAACGGCGCGCGTGACGTGCCAGACGTGCGGTGGCTGCTGCTCGAGCACTTCACACACCCCACCGTCCGCGTTGTGCCCGCGTGAGTCAGCTGCTGGCGGCCGGCCACCGTCGCGGTGGCGTCGGTTTGTCCGCCGGTCGTGGCCGTGTTGGCGTGAGGGAGCGCTGCTTGCGGCCAGGGCTGCGACGGCGTGAGCTCTCTCCCGGCCAGTGCTGCTCCCCGCGGGTTTCCCACCGGGTCAGCTGTGCTGGTGTAAGTGTCGCGCCCGGTTAGGGCTGCTGAGGTGACTGCGCTCGCCCGGCCGGCCTCCCTCGTCGTCTCCAGTCTCGCTTTCCTAGCTAGTCTGTTTCAGTTCGTTGCTGGTCCCTTCAATGTTAGCTCATTTGGTTAGAGCGCCTGCCTTCCGATCCACCCACTCACGGCGGGTGGGTTCGAGTCTGTTTAGGCGCTCGCTATTTTCCCCGACAGTCACGGCCCGCAACGGGTAGCAGCGGCCACGCTAAAAGTCGGCTGATTTCGGAGGGCAGGACGGACCGTGCTGAGCATTACGGCATGTTGAATTTTCGCCACTTAATTCTGCCGTTGGTATGAAATCGCACAATCGGGTGGTAGGGGTAAGGGGCACAGAACAAGCACTACTCAGCGTGAGCTCGGATCCTAGAAAGCCACCCATTTGAGGAGGTTTAGAAGGAATATTTTAAAAAGTGCTGCCATCTGTCTGCCACGCGCAGGAGGGCATTGTGCTGTGTTCCGTCGCCCCAAAGCACTATCTCCAGGTCGTGTCCTCTGGTCCGTTCCGTTCTTGTTTGTTCCGTTCTGTTTGACTTTTGTTCCGGTCTGCATACTCCTGCGGCGACCACTGCCATGCTGTCACCGTGAGCGTGCCGTCACAGTACGCATATGCAGCATTGTGGTGGGGCATGTCTGCCGCTGCGTCAAGGATGCACCAGCGGGCGTCTGACATTGCTCGGGGCTGTCACCTTGACCGCGCTCCTCCCCCTCCCTCCCCCCCCCCCCCGCAACCGGTGCGTCCGGCCGACTCCTCAGCTCACGCGCGTTGTATCTGAGCTGATCACGACCCGCCTTGCGGTGGCGCCGAGTGCCACGCACTGGGCTGTAGCTAGTTTGTTCTTAATGCTGTGCTTACAGGCAGGGTAGCAGGAAGGGAGAGCACCTGGTCGTCAACTGTCGACACCAGCATGCGGGCCCATCACAGGCGCACCCCCACTCCAACACACCCCCATGCGTCCCGCAGATTCTCGGCTCGTGCAGCTAGTCGTGTCATTGTGACTACGCTTCCGCGTGGTGCCCTGAGCGTGTCACTGACCACCCATGGCCGCCTTCCCGTTTGTCCCCGGACCTGCTCTGGCCATGCCATGCTCCTGACCTGCCCTGGCCATGCTCCGAACTGGCTCTTGATGGTGCTCATTGGCTGTGCCCTGACGCCGCCCCTGTCTGTCCCCCTGATTCCGCCCCTGTTCACCGTCACCGACGCCGCCCCTGTCCGTCGCCCTGACGCCGCCCCTGTCCGTGGCCGGCAGCTTGCGCGATCTGTACCAGGCGGCCAGTCTGGAGCTGGCCCGGCTGGTGGAGCAGCGCTCGGAGGAGGAGCGGCTCCGCTTCCGCAGCTGGCATGTGCACTACAGCGAGTTCCGCTGGGTCGCCTGGTCGACCGTGCTTGGCCTCGGTCACCTGGCCAAGGGGAGGTGCGTGCCGACCGCAGGTCCGCCCGGCCGCCCGCCGCTCGGGCGCGGCTGCAGGTGGCGCTGCGCTGGGACGGTGGGGTTTGGTCCCGGAGCAATGCCGCGGGCGGAGACGGCGCTGCTCCCGGCAGCAGTTAGGTGGCGGACGCTGGCTGAGTGTGATTGTGAACGATGCTGACGTCTGGGAAACTGAATGAAGTGATGGTGGCGTCTGTGAAGCATAGCGCTGGCTCATGGCGCTGGTTCCGCAGCGTTTTTAGGAAGTTTCTGAGGCCCTGGGGCCCCAGGATGGAGGCTTGCTTGTGCCCGCACGTGGTACATTCGTCCTCTATGCGTCCTGTCCTGGTACGAATCCGTCACATATCTACCACTCGGTCACTGCGGCCACTGCGTAGCCGACCGCGACGTTCTGCGACTGCGTTCATACCTCACATTCGTTGTTCGACTGCCTTGCCTTACACAGCCTTCATCTGACACCGCGCATCGCGGCCCCGGCAGGTACACAGAGTCGCTGCTGTACCTGATGCAGGCGTGCACCAAGAACGACAAGCTGATAGCGGAGCAGGCCGACGGACGCACGGACCTGGGCCTGGACCCGGACCAGCTGGCCAACTTCCGGCGACAGGCCGTCCGGGTACGGCCGTGTCGCGAGCGAGGCGCCGCCCTGGCCCGGCTCCCCGCCGGGCGGGAGGGCGAACACGGGCGGCTGGGGTGCGGGCCGCTCAGCACGCCGCACTGGGCGTGTAGGGCTGGTTATGACTTGCCAGGGTTGTTGTCTGGTGGGACGGCACTGGCAAGGAGTAATGTGTCTGGTGTGTGTGCGTTGCTGTGTGCGCCGTTTGTTTCTGGTACTGCACCGTGGACGGTTGGTTTTTGCTTGCACCGGGTGTCTAACCCCTACCCATTTATAGGCGGGTGCCAGCACATGTTTCCTTTCATGTTTGTGGTACTCGATGACGTTAAGTATCATCGACACACACCAAAGCCAATCACGTTGGGCATCACTGGTCCCTACGATGTGTTCTCTAGGACCCACGATCCATCACCGGAAGTGCGCTACAAAACCCGCCCAGCTGATGTTGTGCTCAGGGTTTTGGACCTTACTCTGATCCCGAGTCAGCTACGATAGCTTACTGTGAAACACTCGCCACAACTCCGGCCGTGACCCGGACGCCGTCGTGACGTCATGAGCCGGACGTCGTCGTGACGTCATGAGCCGGACGCCGTTGTGACGTCATTCTGAGGTCACCGGGGCGTGCCGCAGGGGCTGAACAAGCACACGGTGGAGATGTTCCTGTCCGGTAATCCGGCGGAAGCTACTCAGCTGACGCAGGAGGGCACCGTCCCGGCCCTGGTCGACCTAGCGAAGTCGGAGAGGGAGCAGGACCGGGTTGCCGCCGAAGACGTCCGGAACAAGTGGTGCAATCTGCTGGAGCAAACGCTGGACGGTGGGTGACCCCGAGGCTGGCTGCTCCGTTGACTGGTGGCGAGGGATGCCTCGTATCGTGCCCCGCCGTATTATCTGGCACTTGTTTTCAGCTGTCCAGAATTCCAATCCGTGTTTGCTGCGTCCGTTTGACGCCTCGTTGGTTATTCGAATGTGGCGTCTATGTTAATGGTGTTGTCTATGTGCGCACGCCGTGCGTATTTTCTGTTGTAACCGTGTCACGTGCAGCGGTGAGTGACGCGAGCACGCACGGTCCCGTCACACGGGGTGCGGCCCGGTGCGCCGGGCCGCACCCCGCTGGAGACGTCCGTCAGTGTCGGCCCCCGCCGTCGATGACGCGGCTGTCGGCGTGCTTCAGATGGTCGCCAGCATGCGCTCCAGACAATCATAACACAGTTGATAGAGCCAGTCGCCGAGCGTGAGCGGCCGATGGTCCCCATCAAAGTGCAGGTACGGAGGCGGTGGTTATCGGCACGGGTACGGTACGCCGTTGCGGAACCGGCGCCGTGTCCCACCGCAGCGCAGATGATGCGGTACTTCCTCGCCGCATGTGTGCTGTTGCCATGTCAGTTGCCTCTGAGGTCAGTCCTTCCTGGCTGGCCGTCAAAGTGGCGACTTTCCGTCGCCGTTTCAGGCACCGTCAGACTCGAGAATTACCTTGTCTCACTTTCCGCCGAAGCACTTTGTACCAACACCTTTGGGACTAATCCCCTCTCAGTGAGCTCCAACCCGGCTCGTCGCCCCCCCCCCCCCCCCCCCCTCAAGCCCAGCGCGCCGCGGTGCTGCAGCCCCATGTCGCACTGCTCGCGCCGTCTCGCCAGCAGAGTGCTCTTGAACTGACGTGATGAGTTGCCGTTCGGCCGGCGCGCTGCCCGCAGCGTGCTCTGACGCGACGGCGCCGCCTCTGCGCCACAGGGCACGGAGCAGCTGGCCCAGCGGTATCGGGAGGCCCTCAGCCGGCTCAAGCAGGACGGCTAGACGCTGCAGCCCGGCGCCGACGTGTCGCTGCTGCTGGCCGGCTGCCGCTCGCCGCCTCACCACTGTCGCGAGTGCGGCGTGCTCGCCGACGATCCCGTCTGCGACTGCGCGCCGGCCGCCGGTGACGGCGAGGCGCTGCGGCTGCCGGGCGAGGCGGGCACCGAGCTGGAGCTGGAGCTGGAGCTGGGCGCCGAGCTCGAGGTGGGCGCCGGCCAGCTGCGGCCGCTGACCGTCGACGTGTCGCTGCCGCCGGAGCCGGAGCCGGAGACGCGAAGCGCCTGGGAGCCGGAGCCGGAGACGCAGAACGGCCGGGAGCCGGAGGCAGAGCGGGAGACGCGGAGAGCGGAGGAGCCGCGGCGGCGAGGGGATGAGCCAAAGCCAGAGCGGGAGCCACGGTCGGAGGATGAGCCGAGGCCGGCGTCGCGGCGAGGAGTGGGACCGGAGCGCGCCGCGGAGCTGGATTCGCCGTCGGGTTCGGACTCCGACTCTGACTCGGACCCGGACACAGACGGCGGACAGCGGCGGATCCGGCCGCGGCGACTGTGGCGGCTCTTGCGAGAGGCGGTCGTGCTGGGCGCCGGCGCGCCGGACGAGCCGTCGTCGCCTGATGGAGAGGAGTCGTGCCCCGACCTCTCGCCGCCGCAGTCGCTGAGCCCCGGAGCTCTGAACGTCAGCGGCGGCAGCGACAGCGACCGCGACTCCGACGGCTGGGACGAGCCCCTGCTTAGCGGCGACGAGCTGTCTTCGCCGGAGCCCGAGGTGCCCGTCATGGAGGGCCCGTTCCGGCGGCCCATGCTCCGACCCCCCACCGACATGGGCAAATTGAGCCCCTGCGCGTACCGCGACCCGCTGCCGACGTCGCGGCCCGGGCCGCCGGGCTCCTCGGAAGATGTGGCCGTGGCGGCGCTGCTCAGCATGTCGGGGGAGGGAGGCGGCGGTCCGGCGGCGCCCGCCCCGGCGCCGACCTGCAGGCCGAAGGGCCGCCGCTGCCACAAGTCTCCCTCGCGGCGCCGCCACATGTCCCCCGCGCAGAGCGACGCTCCGTCGCCCGCTCGGTCCGACGGCCAGCCCGGCACGTCGGCTGGCTCTACGTCTGATGTTGTGCTGTCGGGCGCACGTGGCGACCGTGCGCGCAGCGTTACCTCTGGTTCTTCGCGCAGTGTTCCGAGCGACGCTCTCCACGTCAAGCCGTCGGGCGGTCCGCCCAACCCGCGCGCCGGCTCGCAGCCCAACACTCCTTTGCTGCGCGCGATGCTCACTGCGCCGCCCATAGCGGGGCGGGCAGGGCCGCCTCTGGCCCGGCCAGGCGGCGCGGCGGCCGCTGCCGCCCGGCTGCGCCGCCTTCAGGAGGAGCAGCAGGCGCGCCGCGCGCGCAAACAGCGCCTCGTCGACCGACTGAACGCCGAGATGCGCCGGCGCGCCGCGGCGGAGCGGAACGGCGGCGGCCGCGGGACGGTGGAGCCGGCGGCCGGCGGCACTAAGCGGCCCCGCGAGGGTCTGGTGTCGCCGGCGCCGCGGCCGCCGCAGCACCCACGCTGCGCGCCCCCCTCGCCCGAGCGCCCGACCGAGGCGGCGCCCCCGGCCCCGGCCCCGGCCGGAGATGGCGGCCCGCCTGTCCCGCCGGGGTGCGCCCCGCCCCCGGTGACGGGGCAGGAGTTGACTGGGGACTCGGCCGTGCCCGCGGAAGAGGCTCCGGCCCGGCCGAGCGGTGGCGAGGCCTGTCGCGGCCCGTCCGGCCAGATGGCCTCTGAGCTGGACCACCTGAGCCTGTCGGATGGAGCCAACGGCGCCGGCGGCCCGGGCCACACCTAGACGAAGCGTGGCGCCATCTCTTACGGCTCGCCGGCCCGTGCTGCGACGGCAGGGCCGCACGGTGCCGGTCCTCCGAGGCGCAGTTTTACCCAGTGACGTCACGGGATGAGGTCGCCTCCAGATGGTCGTTCGCCCAGCTCAGCTCCTACTTGGTGCTCGCGGCGCAATAATTCGCATCGGTGATTGGCAGCTGCTCTGTGCGGGTTTGTTCTCTTTGTCCCCGCCTCGCGTTACTCGCTCCTCAGCGCGTGCGTTTGTCGGCTGGCTCGGGGCTTCCCGGCCGGCGCTACGAGCCGGCGGCGGCTCGTCCGGCTGCTTGGAGCGACCGTCGGCGCCGTGCGCGCGGTGACTGTTTTATTGCGAGGCGACGCGCAGGCGCGCCCGCGGCTTTACTCAGTGTGTGTGTGTGTGTGCGTCGAGGACTCGAGGCGACAGAGGTCGTGACAGTAACGGCGACAGAGATCGTGACAGTGACAGCGACAGTGATCGTGACAGTGACGGCGACAGTGATCGGAGGAATTCGGCAATAGTGCCGGCGCGCGCGTGCGTCCAGACGGCGTGTTTGTTCTCGGGCGATCGCCGCGCGCGCGAGGAGGTGGGGTGCCGCGTCTGGACACAGTGGCCCGTCGCGAGAGGCGGGGCGCCGCCGGCCACGTCATGCCATCGCGTCGGGGGCGTGCGTTGGCGGCGCCGGCGCCCGCTCGGCCGGGGCATTTCTGCAGCTCAGCTCGTGTGGACGCCCCCGACGGAGGCGGGGAAGCGGGTCGGTCGGTCCGGCGGCGCGCGGCGGCGGCAGTCTCCGTCGCCCGCCGTCGCTGCCGCCGGGCGCCATGTGATCCGACTCGCCCTCAGTCAGCCGGCGCAGCGGCGTTTGTGTTGTGTTTTATGCACTGTTTGTCGAAATATAGATTTGTACAAGAGCCGGCGCATCCCTTCTTGTGAGCGGAAGTCGGCTCCTGGCACCTGCGCGTTCGCACCACGCCAGCGCTGCGGCTTGCGGTCTATCGCGGCCGGATCGGCCAGGGGCGGCAGCGCGGCACGATGTCCGATAGGGCGGGCTGGGGCCGGCGGCCCCCGGCGGCGCGGCAGACGACCGGACGCACGCCTCGCATCACCATGCCTCACGAGCGCACGCCAGGCTGGGTCGCCGAGCCGCAGCTCGGCTCGTGGGCGGAAGACATGGGCAAGTTCGTCGAGCAGGACCTGACCAAGATTGCCGCGGTTTATTGCCTCGGTGAGTGCGCCTCGCCGGTGGTCTCCCAGCGGCATGCTCGGTGTTGGCCGCGGCTCTCGCGAGCTCAGCAAGCGTTCGTGGTTTGCGTGGCGGGAGTAAGAAAGCTCACGCCACGGCGACCCCCCGGTCAGACGGTGCTTCGGTTAGGTAAAGTCGCTGGTACGCTTAACCAGGTCAGAGGCGCCGCGACGACCGGCAAACACGCGGGCCTTTACCCACAGGGTCATTGACGCGGCGTGCACCAAGGTGTCGAGCTCAACCCTCGGTGCAGCACAGATGCATCATAATTTCCCGTCTGCTGCCCCCACCCCCCCGCCACCAACGAAACTTGACCCTCTTTCCCGTTTCCGGGAAGTGTAGTGATTTCCGGGGCAGGGGCATCTGCTGTCTGCATCAGAGAAGGCTGCGTGCGTTGAACGAAAGGGGACATCGACAGTTTTACGCATTAGCGTGTCGTGTAATGTTGCGGAACGGTGTTAGCATGAAGAACGGTTCTAGTCGCAAATCGGAACACGTGACGCTGTGTTTCCGACGTGCGGCGCCGTTATGTTCCCGTCCCCACCCTTCTCTGCCGCGTGTCGGCAGTGGTGATACTACTGCTGTTCTCCTGGCCGCCGGTCCCGGCCGTGCTGCTCGGCACGGCTCTGCTCGTCCTGCGCCGCTACCTCGCCGGCGGCCGCTACTTCTCGGAGGCGCGACTGGACGGCCGCACGGTGCTGGTGACGGGCGCCAGCGGCGGCATCGGCCAGGAGACGGCGCGCCAGCTGTACCGCCGCGGCGCCAGGGTCGTCCTGGCCTGCCGCGACGTCAGCAAGGTCAGGCGAGGGCAGAAATCGGTGACGTCACGCCGAGTGGTGCACGGGAGGGGGGCGGAAAGGTCGTGGTGCCGGTAAATGCCTGTGGCTGCCGTGCTTTCGTCGGTTGTGATGCCAGGTCTGCTTCCGCAGGGCCGCGTGGCTGCGAATGGGATCAGGTTAGGTCTGCCACCTACCGGTGGGAGCCTCAGTGTGAAGCGTCTGGATCTGACGTCGCTGAACTCCGTACGGGAATTCGTCAAGGACTTCAACCACACAGAGCAGAGTCTTGACGTGCTCATCAACAATGCTGGTAAACAAGGAACGCCAGCATCCAGTATCTCCTAGGCGGCTTTTCGTGGTGCTGAGTACCGAGAACGATTTCTCAAGTTACTCGGACATGTGTGTGCGTGCTCATGGATGCGACCAGGCCGTGGATGCTACTGGATGTGTCTATTGCTGTTTTGGTGCTACTATCTATTGCGAACGCCTAGAGACAGTCCAATCCGTCCCAGGGCCACTGGGGGCGAGGTCCCACCGACCGCAGTTACAATGGCTACGCCCGCGCTCGTGTTGGCCATATGTGAGGTGCAGCACTACATTGCGCGATGGCCGCAACGTCTTTTGCACCTTGAACGTAAGAACACACGTTGCACCGTGCAACCTAAAGCTTGTGCCCATCCCCAACCTTATTTCATGTTTCACATTTCCTTGGAAGCCCTACGGCACTGCCCCGGTTCACCAACTTTAATCTGCTCTTTTCTACAGGTGTAATGTGGAGGCCATTTGAGAAGACTGAGGATGGGTTTGAGCTGGCATTCCAGGTCAATCACCTGGCGCCATTTCTGCTCACCATTCTTCTTCTGGACAAGCTGAAGGCTGCACCTCAGGGACGAATCATCAACGTTTCTTCCATGGCCAACTACTTCAGTAATCGGCTCTGCTGCCTTTCACATATTGCGTTCCATATCACGACATGTCACGTATATTGTTTTTGTTACACAAAAGATTACCCTGCAGACATTTGATACATTAGGTGAAGTCCACTCTTAAGTTCAGTGAAAAGAACTATTTCAAACAACGCATACATCTCGAGAAAATCACGTGCTCCAGCTACCACTTCGTCAGCATTTATGTGTACACTCCTTATGAGTGTGTCCACGCGAGTGAACACAATGCGAGGGCGCTACACATGTCCTATGATCATGTGGTTCCTTGACGGATACTACGCAGCGCATGGGGCCACACACCCGGCGTCAGCTGACCCGGTCTCCTGCCGCAGCGAACGGCATCAACTTCGCCAACCTAAACGGAGAGGAAACGTTCAACAGCTCGTCTCAGTACAGCAACACCAAGCTGATGAACATCGCCTTCGCCTCTGAGCTCAGCAGACGCCTGGCGCGTGAGTTGACTCGCCATGAACCGGCCCGCAGTCCTCGGAGGACGTGACCGGATGGGGAGGGGCGCTCAACGACGGGAGGAGAGGAATACGTGAGCGGTTTTACGACCGCAAACGGTCTCTCAGGACTTTCTAGGGAAATTCATGTCGACAGACAGATCTTGGCGGAGTTTTCTAACCAGCTATTCTGGCCACGTAAATCCTATATATATATATATATATATATATATATATATATATATATGCATCCCTCTCTCTCTCTCTCTCCTCTCTCTCTCTCTCTCTCTCCCTCTCTCTCTCTCTCTCTCTCTCTCTTCTCTCTCTCTCCTCTCACTCTCTCTCTCTCTCTCTCTCGCCTCCATCCTCTCTCTCTCCTCTCTCCCTCTCTCTCTCTCCTCCTCTCCTCTCTCTCTCTCTCTCTCTTTCTCATCTCTCTCTCTCTCCTCTCTCTCTCTCTCTCTCTCTCTGATAAGAAACGCGGCCCATCCGGACCGTCCTCACCAACATTTGAACTTGAGCGTACATCCTCCCCCTATAAAAAGTACGCCGATGAGTTGACGTGTCGTAGCTCTATCACCGCCCCCCCCCCCCCCCTCCCGCCACTGGCCCCCACAGACACGCGGGTGAGCGGCACAGTCTGCACCCGGGGCTGCGTGGAAGACGGAGCTGATAGCGCACGTGGCCACCGGCGTGTGCTGCGCGCGGCTCAAGTGGCTGGTACCTGTGGAGTACGCACAAGACGGCCGAGCAGGGCGCCCAAACCAGCGTCATGCTGGCCGCCCGACCCCGCCTTCGCCCACGTCTCGGGCCGATACTACGCGTGAGAGCCGGCGGGAGAGGGCAGGGCAGGGGAAGCGGAAGTGTCAAATCGCGCAGAATTGGTCACGCCGGCGATCCCAAGGTTCAGTGTCTTCGTCTTTTGATGTGAACATTTGACTACTTCTAGTGGTAATATGAGCAGTAGTGTGACAATGCCACGTCCTGTCATAGACAGGAATATTTCCTCCCTTTATTTTGCGAGTTGACTTACATATATCAGTGGTAATCAGGAGATAATTAAGCCCTCGTTAGTTTAACTACTCGCACGCAGGTGGTTACACCCAGATGTAACTAACAAGTTCTCACCATTTCGTCCGCGGTCCTGAGCGGCGTACTCCGCCGTGATGTTAATCTCGATTACCTACCCCTGCTGCAAACTCTGT